ATCTAGGATATCCTTCCTTTTACAGTAGCTGAAAAAAAATGTAGAATTTAAAAAAAAATATATATATGGGCTTTCTTTACCCCTAGCAGCTAAAAAAATCTAGAATACCCTTCCTTTTACAGTAGCTGAAAAAAAAATGTAGAATTTAAAAAAAAAAAATATGGGCTTTCTTTACCCCTAGCAGCTAAAAAAAAAAAAAAAAAAAATCTAGAATACCCTTCCTTTTACAGTAGCTGAAAAAAAAATGTAGAAAAAAAAAAATGTAGAATTTAAAAAAAAAAAAAAAATATGGGCTTTCTTTACCCCTAGCAGCTAAAAAAAAAAAAAATCTAGAATACCCTTCCTTTTACAGTAGCTGAAAAAAAATCTAGAATTTATAAAAAAAAAAAAAAAAAAAACATATGGGCTTTCTTTACCCCTAGCAGCTAAGAAAAATCTAGGATATCCTTCCTTTTACAGTAGCTGAAAAAAAATGTAGAATTTAAAAAAAAAAATATATATGGGCTTTCTTTACCCCTAGCAGCTAAAATAAATCTAGAATACCCTTCCTTTTACAGTAGCTGAAAAAAAATCTAGAATTTATTTAAAAAAAAAAAAATTATGGGCTTTCTTCACCCCTAGCAGCTAAAAAAAATCTAGAATACATTTCCTTTTACAGTAGCTGAAAAAAAATCAGAATTTATAAAAAAAAAATGATGGGCTTTCTTTACCCCTAGCAGCTAAAAAAAAAATCTAAAATACCCTTCCTTTTACAGTAGCTGAAAAAAAAAAAATCTAGAATTAAACAAAAAAAAATGTTTATGGGCTTTCTTTATATACTTTACTGGCGCTTGACCGCTAACGGCACGGAAAGCCCATACACTTTTTTTTTTTTGTTTGGCTACTGTAAAAGAAGGGAATTGGCCAGACAGAGGTTCTACTTTTTAATTAATATAATAAAATAATTCAATAATATAAATAATTTATTTATAATTTTTACCAATTTAGAATTTAGTTTTATTTATTTTTTAATATATATTTTACATACACCTGACTGTTAGGAGCACAGAAATCTAAAAAAAAAGATTTTTTTTTACAGAAAGAGCATTTATTTTTATAAATTTAAATTGGGGTTGAAGTGTGTGTGATACAACCAACTAAATGTTAGTACAACTTGACACCCTCACATACTTTTTGCACTTATTATAATAATTAAAAAAAAAAAAAAAAAAAATAATAGCTCCCATGAAGAACTGCAACTGTATAAGAGCCATGATTTTTTTTTTTTTTTTTTTATGGTTTAGAACTACTACTTGTATAAATGAATTCCCTCGAACACCATGATTGCAAATTATTTGCCTTCAGTTTTTGTAAATCTAGGAAGCCTAAAAATGACTAGTTCAAGTAAATAAAATGGAATTATTGGCCTACCCGATGAAATTATAGAAATAATAATAATAAAAAAAATAAATTAAAAAAAAAAAAAAAAAAATCATAGCTCCCATGAAGAACTCCAACTCTATAAGAGCCATGTTTTTTTTTTTTTTTATGGTTTAGAACTACTACTTGTATAAATTAATTCCCTCGAACACCATGACTGTAATTTATTTATTCAAGTAAATAAATGGCATTTTTGGCCTACCCAATGAAATTATAGAAATAATAATTTTAAAAAGTTTAAAAAAAATCATAGCTCCCATGAAGAACTCATGAAGAGCTTTGTATTTGGGCCTTTTGGCTAGCTTTGGACCAATCCCAGAATAGCATTCACCTCTGTACACCGGCACCATCCGGAGACCTCAGCCACCTTCTTACCTTGAAGAGTGCGGGAACGAGAAGCTCCGTCTGAGTGGTCGGGATGGACTCGTCGAGAAGCTCCCAGGCTCCTTCATCGCGTCTGCACTCCAGACCATACCCACGCAGGGGGAGGAAGGACCTCAGGGGTGGGGCCCAGGTCAGCAGCACTCCGCGGGAGGTCTCATTGGCCGATAGGTAACGGGGAGGAGTCAGAGTATCCCGGGAGTCTGTGGTGGGTACAGGTGGAGGTAAGGTGGTGGGTGGGATACCTGAGAGGCCAAAACATTAGTGATTATTGAAGAGGAGGAAATGTTTAGTGGGTGATAGAGACGAGAAGGGGGAGCCACCGGTGACGGGACCACACGAAGGGGCACCAGGAGACAGAGACAGGGATTATTAACAAAACGGTCACTTACTAAGAGGAGAGGCCGTCACTATTTCACTGAAGGGCCCGCTGCCCAACTTGTTCTGAGACAGAACGCTGAACTGGTATGTGTTTTCCGACTGCAGGTTCTCCACCACGAGGTAACTGGCACCCACCGAAGACGACAGGGAAATCCACTCATGGTGGCCGTGTGTGAGCCGCTTTACCCTGCCAAGAGATGGAGGAGCCAACACTGGTCAGCAGCAATCCAGGAGAAGAGATGGTAGATCCAGTGTGGGAGGAGATGGAGGTGACCAAACTTGTAGCTTCATGAGAAACTGAGCCCATGTATCAGTGTTTTAGGACCCCTGAGTGTCCCTCATTGTTTGGGATCCTGAATGCCCATGTATTATGTTCTGGACCCTGGGGAGTCAGTGTGTGATTGTTCTAGACCCCCCAAGTGTCAGTGTATCATTGGCCTGGACCCCCAAGTGTTAATGTGTCATTGTACTCAGTCCCCCAAGTGTCAATATGTCCATGTTCTGGGCCCCCCAAGTGTCAGTGGTCATTGGTGGAACCCCCAAGCATCATGGTTCTGGAACCACCAAGTGTCATTGTTCTGGACCCCCTGAGTGCCAATGTTCTCAGTCCCCCAAGTGTCGTGGTTGTGGAACCCCCAAGTGTTGTGGTTCTGGAATCCCCAAGTGTCAGTGTCCATGTTCTGGGCCCTCAAGTGTCAGTGTATCATTGATCTGGACCCCCAAGTGTCAGTGTGTCATTGGTCTAGAACACCCAAGCATTGTGGTTCTTGAGCCACCAAGTGTCAGTGTGTCATTGTTCTGGGTCCCCAGAGTGTCAGGTGTCAATGTTCTAGGTCCCCCAAGTGTCGTGGTTCTTGAATCCCCAAGTCTCAGTGTGCCCATGTTCTGGGCCCCCAAGTGTCAGTCTATTATTGGTCTGGAACCTCCAAGCATCGTGGTTCTGGAACCCCCAAGTGTCAGTGTGCCCATTGGTCTGGAACCCCCAAGTGTCAGTGTGTCATTGGTCTGGGAACCCCCAAGTGTCAGTGTGTCATAGTTCTGGGTCCCCCAAGTGTCAGTGTGTCATAGTTCTGGGTTCCCCAACTGTTGTGGTTCTGGAACCCCAAGTGTCAGTGTGTCCCTGTTCTGGACCCCCCCCCCCCCCCCCCCAAGTGTCAGTGTGTCATTGTTCTGGGACCCCCAAGTGTCAGTGTGTCATCGTTCTGGGGACCCCAAGTGTCAGTGTGTCATCGTTCTGGGACCCCCAAGTGTCAGGGTGTCATCGTTCTGGGACCCCCAAGTGTCAGGGTGTCATCGTTCTGGGACCCCCAAGTGTCAGGGTGTCATCGTTCTGGGACCCCCAAGTGTCAGGGGTCATCGTTCTGGGACCCCCAAGTGTCAGGGTGTCATTGTTCTGGACCCCCAAGTGTCAAGGTGTCATTGTTGTGGGATCCCCAAGTATCAGTGTGTCATTGGTCTGGACCCACCCCTTATCCCCGAGTGTCAGTGTGTACTTTTTCTGGGACCCCCCCCAAATGGCGTGGTTCTGGGACCTCCAAGTGTCAGTGTGTCATTGGTCTGGACCTCCAAGTGTCAGCGTGTCTTTGTTTTGGGTCCCCTGAGTGTTGGTGTGTCATTGTTCTGGGACCCTCAAGTGTCAATGTGTCATTGTTCTGGAAACCCCACCCCCGAGTGTCATTGTGGCATTGTTTATTGATCACCTTGAATCCTCTGTACCGGTTTCAGTCCCGTGTTACACCTCTAAAATAAATAAAGATACTTTTTCCAGAATATTTTGTTGCTCATGTCGCCCAGAACCCAACCTACCATTGCCAATGTCAGTGACACACGAGATAAATGTGCAGCTTGTACAGAAGATGTATTAGAACATTCAATTATTCACAATGATAATATATATGATCACCATCTAAAGATTTAGTTTTTGTATCTTCTGTACAAACCGGGCTGCTCAGGATGAATGCAAGGACAGGATCTATACAATGCGATCTACACGCTACACGTTAGATGGGCTACATGACAAGGAGATGAATCTGATTTTCATTCTTACACGGGGGAACCTGTTCTGTATCTCATCATATCTGGCTGATCCAGTCCTAAATGTATTCCTAGACAGCACATGCCTTCAGTGAAGTGCTGAAAACATGTATATAAGGAAATATGCTGGGGAAATAGAGGTAGGATGTGATGTTATCTGGTGTTCCATAAAGAAATGCATTCCCGGCATCTTTTAGATGTTCACGCTCCTCGTTCACATCTGCCGGATGTTTGTGGGCTGGACTTGCCACCATGCACATTTATAAGGATGCCGTGGATGTCTTTTTCATAGAACTCCATGGGCAGAGGGTCTAGTGTCTGAAGATGACCACCATTAAGAAATAGAAAATTGAATGGCCCCAGTACAGGTCTCAAAGGGCAAGAGCATTAAAACGGGTGAAAGCCTCAACTGGTCTTGTACTCTCTTCAATGGGATGACCAGCGTTCAGGCAGAGCCATGCTTTGGCCAGCTTGGAATTCACACCAGACCTGAAAGCCCCTTTCCCACAAATGTGATCACCTAGGGACTCTAGGATGTAGAAGAGCATCGGAGTAAAGAAGAGACTGAACGTGTCTTTCTTTCACCATCGCTCATGGTGAAAGGAAACTGAGGGTATAGGTCTGCTTATGGACAAGGACAGACCTCTATCTCACTGGGTACCTGTGGTCTCAGCCATGTGGGACCACAAAGCCTCCATGCGTAAACCATAGATACATCTCCTTCTAGGTTAGTAAAACAAAACTCACAGCGGGGCATACCAAACGCTGAACCTCTGGAAGTATCCTCCATCGAAGCCGGGGGTCCAGGTGATGTTTATTGCGTTCACCAATGACTGGGCGGACACATTGCTGACTGCGTGGGGACTGGTGCCTGAAAAAAAAAAAATTACATGATAAAAGTCCGTTAAAAGACAAAATACCTGTTTTAGAGTTTCAGCCTTCATGTGAACTTGGCCGCCATTGCAAACATTTTTTTTTATTGAAAGGTCCTTCTTAAGAACAGGGGCTAAAAGTTTCCTTCTATTACTGTCATTAGGTAGGCCGTAGAACGCCCACTAAGAGAGCATCAGAGGCCAGATGGAAAACACCACTACTGGACAGGAAACTTGTAGGTGTTCAGGGTTTACCTCTGTGGGGGCAGGACCTTGCATGGTCAACTCTTAAAGAGTAGACACCGTAAGGTTCTTGCTTAAGAGTTGACCATGCAAGGTCCCTACTTAAGCAAGAACCTTTTGGTGGTCAACTCTTAAGCAGGGAGCTTATGATGTCTACTCTTTAAGACTTGACCATGCAAGGTTTCAGTTTAAGAGTAGACATCATAAGGTCCCTGCTTAAGAGTTGACCACCAAAAGGTTCTTGCTTAAGTAGGGACTTTGCATGGTCAACTCTTAAGCAAGGACCGTACAGTGTCTACTCTTAAAAAGTTGACACTGTACGGTCCTTGCTTAAGAGTTGACCATGCAAAGTCCCTACTTAAGCAAGAACCTTTTGGTGGTCAACTCTTAAGCAGGGACCTTATGATGTCTACTCTTAAACTGAAACCTTGCATGGTCAAGTCTTAAAGAGTAGACATCATAAGCTCCCTGCTTAAGAGTTGACCACCAAAAGGTTCTTGCTTAAGTAGGGACCTTGCATGGTCAACTCTTAAGCAAGGACCTTACAGTGTCTACTCTTTAAGTAGAAGCGTTGTGATGTCTACTTTTAAGCAGGGATCTTGCGTGATCAACTCTTTAACAGAGACCTTGTGGTGTCTACTAAGCAGAGGTCTTGCGTGGTCAGCTCTTTAGCAGTGACCTTGTTTGGTCAACTATTAAGAGTTGACCAGCAAAAGGTTCTTGCTTAATAGTTGACCATGCAAGGTCACTGCTAAAGAGCTGACTACGGAAGACCTCTGCTTAGTAGACACCACAAGGTCCCTGTTAAAAAGTTGACATCACAACGTCTCTTCTTAAACAGGGACCTTGTGGTGTCTACTAAGCAGAGGTCTTCCGTAGTCAACTCTTTAGCAGTGACCTTGCATGGTCAACTATTAAGCAAGAACCTTTTGCTGGTCAACTCTTAATAGTTGACCAAACAAGGTCACTGCTAAAGAGCTGACCACGCAAGACCTCTGCTTAGTAGACACCACAAGGTCTCTGTTAAAGAGTTGATCACGCAAGATCCCTGCTTATAAGTAGACATCACAACGCTTCTACTTAAAGAGTAGACACCGTAAGGTCCTTGCTTAAGAGTTGACCATGCAAGGTCCCTACTTAAGCAAGAACCTTTTGGTGGTCAACTCTGCTTATGATGTCTACTCTTTAAGACTTGACCATGCAAGGTTTCTGTTTAAGAGTAGACATCATAAGGTCCCTGCTTAAGAGTTGACCACCAAAAGGTTCTTGCTTAAGTAGGGACTTTGCACATCAGCAACGCTTCTACTCTTAAAGAGTAGACACTGTAAGGTCCTTGCTTAAGAGTTGACCATGCAAAGTCCCTACTTAAGCAAGAACCTTTTGGTTTTGGTGCTTATGTCACTCCCAAGACTTGACCATGCAAGGTTTCAGTTTAAGAGTAGACATCATAAGGTCCTTGCTTAAGAGTTGACCACCAAAAGGTTCTTGCTTAAGTAGGGATCTTGCATGGTCAACTCTTAAGCAGGAACCTTGCGAGGTCTACTCTTAAGCAGGAACCTTGCGAGGTCTACTCTTAAGCAGGGACCTTGCGAGGTCTACTCTTAAGCAGGGACCTTGCGAGGTCTACTCTTAAGCAGGGGCTTGGTGGTCTCAAGGTGCCCTTGTACCCTGAACACACTGTGCACATACGTCTTGACTTTTGATCCAACTCTGAGCTCTGCCATGCCCCCACCCTCACACAAACCAATAACAGCCCTTCAACAACTACCAACAGTGAGCTTATTGATTGCCTGAGATGATGGGAAAATAGGACAGTTAAAAGCTGAAGCCCATGTGGACTGGTCACCCAAGATAAGGTGGCTCACTAAAAACAGACTGAAAAGTTCTTTCAAGGCACCCTGTGGTAGCAGCTCTTCAGACAGGACACATGAACGTTTCTCCATCAAAAACACCCACAACAGTAAATGTTCACTTATACAGTCCTATACAACATACCCAAAACAAAGACGGAAGTGAGCGTGCTGATTTTGGCCACGTTATTGGCAGCAGCGCATTCCCACATGCCATGTTCCTCTTTGGTGAGAGGTCTGAATATCAAACTGCCGTTGACATCCATCTGAGCTCCGCTTTTACTGGGCATCCCAAGCTGTAGGACAAAACGGATTCTGTTAACCATGACAGTAGGCAGACGGTGGTCATCAAATCAGGTGTCCCCATTGGAAAGTCTAAGCCTCACTTCCTATCTAGGACCCAAAATTGGAAGGGAGATGAAATCCCCTCTTAGATAATTGCCACTGAAACCATTGTGGCTTAATGGAAGTTTTCCATTCAGTGACAACTGTAAAATATTGGGTGTCCCATCCTCTTTTTGACAATGGTCACCAGGACGAATGAATTTAGATGGTGAACTTCCCCAGTGGGACATAGACTAGACAGTAATAAAAACCTGAGAGGTCCTAACCCAACCATTCTACTCCAGAGGAAACCATAAAATAATTTGTAGGTCTTGGGGAACCCCATTGGTTGCCAACAGAGCCACTTACTGGCTCTACCAAATAATGTTGGCCTTTGATGGAGGCACCGTTGGTTAGGACATCAGCCACAGCTCAAAAAACTTCTAGCATCCTCTGGAGGAACCTCTGGTTGAGAGAGCTGTCCTACCCTTCTTTATCTAGAAGCATTTAGGTTTGACGGAAGTTCTCCTTTTACGCCAGCCATGTTTGTCCATGCTCACCTTGACCCAGCTAATTTCGGGAGGTGGGTCCCCATCAGCAGCACAAGAGATGATCAGCTCCCTCCCCACATCTTGGAAATACTCATCTTTTGGGATGATGATGAAGGAAGGTGGATCCTATTTAAAAAAATACATATTATGAAGAAAACGGTAGGCTGTCAATGCTGAGGTTTTTTTTTTTTTTTCAAAGGATAACAATCTGTTTATAACACTTGGGACCACCTGCCCAACCTCAGCCTTCCCTGTCCTACAGCTGCCCAACCTCAGCCTTCCCTGTCCTACAGCTGCCCAACCTCAGCCTACCCTGTCCTACAGCTGCCCAACCTCAGCCTTCCCTGTCCTACAGCTGCCCAACCTCAGCCTTCCCTTTTCCTACAGCTGCCCAACCTCAGGCTTCCCTGTCATACAGCTGCCCAACCTCAGCCTTCTCTGTCCTACAGCTGCCCAACCTCAGCCTTCCCTGTCCTACAGCTGCCCAACCTCAGCCTTCCCTGTCCTACAGCTGCCCAACCTCAGCCTTCTCTGTCCTACAGCTGCCCAACCTCAGCCTTCCCTGTCCTACAGCTGCTCAACCTCAGCCTTCCCTGTCCTACAGCTGCAGTCCAACCAGCCAGAAAACTCCCATTGGCCATGGCACCTCTAGTGGCCCTTCAGTTCTCTTCTCAAAGTCAACAGAGCCACAATGTACTGCACCTGTGTAGCCTTTCTCCCCAGGCCCTAATAAAAAAAAATCCATCTTTCTGCAGGCTTGCAAGTGGACTGCATCTCCATAGGGCCTAGTAGAGGGCAGTCCACCGACTCGGTGAAGGAGCCGATGGAGTTGGCCAGGAGGTTGCCATTGGGAATAAAGAAGGTTTGGGCCATATGTATCAGAAAAGAAAAGGGGGAAATTGGCCGTAAGTGGTATCTAACCCCAAAAATACAAAGACTTAAGTAAACATCCTACACAATTTGAAACAAGATTTCTCAGATGGTTCCCCATACCTTCAGGATGACGGCGGTGGGCAGAGACACACCCATGCTTCCGTAGCTGTTGTAGGGAGTGCAGGTGTACGTGCCAAGGGCATCGTCATTCCCCGTTGCCACAACAATGGAGCCGTCCTCTTCCAGGTACCATCCTGGGAACTGGCAACAAGAATGGAGGGGAAACTCAATAAATATCATATATTATAATATAATAGATATTTTAGACAGTCAGCACAATCTCGCCATCCTGAGGCCAAAAACTTAATATATACATTTTTCTATATTATATTTAAAAATGAAAATAATATAAACTAATATAGAAAAATGTATATATTCTTCCATTTTTAATATAAATGTAGAATTAATAGTTTATATATTAATTTCATTTTTAAATATATTGTATATATTCTTTAATTTTTTTATAAAATGTAGAATAGTTTTATATATAATTTCATTTTTTAAATAAATATATAAAACTATTCTACATTTTATATTAAAATTTAATTTTAATTAAATAATATAAAACAATTATATATAAATTTCATTTTATAAATATATTGTATATATTTTTAATTTTTAATATAAATGTAGAATTTTTTATATTAATTATATTTTAAAAATAAAAAAATTATATATATTCTACATATATTATTTTGAAAATTAATATATAAAATAAAATTTGTATATATTTCCAAGATATATATACAATAATATTTAATAAAAATGAAATATAATATATAAACTATTAATTCTACATTTATTTTAAAAATGGAAGAATATATACAAAAAAATATATTATATTTTAAAAATGAAAATAATATAGAAAATAGTATATTAGTTTTATATTATTTAATTTTTAAATATAATATATAAATTTTTGTATATTATTTTAAAAATTTTTAATATAAATGTAAAATACTATTTATATATTTATTTTCAAATAAATAAAAAAAATATATATTATTCTATTTTTATAAAAAAAAAATTAAAATATTATATATTATATTTAAAAATGAAATTATATATAAACTATTAAATTTTACATTTATATTAAAAATGGAAAATATATAAATTTTTCTATATTATATTTTGAAAATTAAATAATATAAAAAATTTTATATATATTCTTCTTTTTTTTATTTAAATTTTATAAAATATTTTAATAAATTTATTTTTAAATAATTTATATATTTTAAATTTTTAAAATAAAATAGATTATAAATAGTTTATATTATATTTAAAAAATTTTTTAATAAATAAATATTAATTATTAATTTATATTAAAAATGGAAGAATATATACAACTATTTAATTTATATTTAAATTTTCAAAATAATAAAAAAAATTTATATTATTATTTTGAAATATAATATAATAAAAAAATTTTTATAAAAATATTTCATTTTTAAATATAATATAGAAAATTATATATTCTTTAATTTTTAAATATAAATGTAAATTAATAGTTTTTATATTTTAATTTTAAAATAAATAAATAATATATTATTAAATTTTACATTAAAAATGGAAGAATATATAAAACTATTCTACATTTATATTAAAAATGGAAGAATATATACATTTTTCTATATTATATTTGAAAATGAAATAATATAGAATAGTACATGTAGTAGTTTATATTATTTCATTTTCAAATAATAGATTTTTTCCTACGATCATCAGCTCCATCTAGTGGCCAAAATGTAGTATGGTTTTCAAAAAACACCTCCATGAGAAAAAAAAAAAACAAAAACCGCATTAAAAGTCCCTTAATATGGGGTATCAGGAGGTGGCAGCAGTGTCTACTGAACGCCTGTCGGTCGCTATACCCACCTCGGATCTTTTTTCAGAGGGCATTAAGCATTCCCACCAATTAAGTGTCCTGGAGGTCTCCTACCTTGTCCAGCTCTAGCGGGAGGCCGTCCTTGGTCCAGTTGATAAACAACAGGGGCGGATTGGCCCTGGCATTTTTTTGATCATACCGCGCATGCCGATAAGATAGGTTTCTGCCGGCATAAAAAATTCACGTAGGCCGGATCTGGAGGAGAAAAATTAAAAGAGAAAAAAGACGTTACACAGCGCAAATCGATCAATATTTTCCATAGTTTCATAATCGAGGGCTACAAAAAACTTCAAAAAATTAATATTTTAAATGTATCAACGCAACATCCTGTCTGAAAACTAAAACAGGAAAAAAAAAATCCAACTAAATCTCCCATCTGATAAATGTGTATAAACAATTTAACTTTTTATCTCTCTATCTCCCGTCTGATTGAAAAATTTATAAACAATGTTACTTTGTATCTCTCTATCTCCCGTCTGATCGATGTTTATAAACAATGTTACTTTGTATCTCTATAAATCTAATAAAATGATCAATGTTTATAAAAATGTTACTTTGTATCTCTATCTCCCGTCTGATCGATGTTTATAAACAATGTACTTTGTATCTCTCTATCTAAATCTGATCGATGTTTATAAACAATGTTACTTTGTATCTCTATCTCCCATCCGATCGATGTTTTAAACAATGTTTTTTTTATCTCTTATCTAATCCATCCGATCAATGTTTATATAAAGATTTTTTTATCTCTTAATCTATTCCGTCTGATCGATTTTATAAACAATAAATATTTGTATCTCTCTATCTCCCGTCTGATCGATTTAAAAAAATAAACAATGTTACTTTGTATAAAAAAAATCTGATTAAGTTTATAAAACAATGTTACTTATGTATCTCTATTCCCATCCGATCAATTATATAAAAAAAATTTTATATTTGTATCTCTCTATCTCCCGTCTGATCGATGTTTTATAAACAATGTTACTTTGTATCTCTCTATCTCCCATCCGATCAATGTTTATAAACAATGTTACTTTTTTAAACAACAAAAAAGTTGCGTCTTTGGCTCTATAGACTTCAATGGAAATGCTGCATGTAAATTAATTTTTGACGATTTTTTTAATCTTTAGCAACAAGAAAAAAAAATGTTAAAAAATAAAAAAAAAATAAAAATGAATTTAACTTGTCATTTGTCAAACAGGACCAAGGCCATAGGATGGGACCAGCCGGCCACGAGCACAGGGGTCCAGCTGACCACGAGCAGACGGGCCTTTTTTTTTACGAGCACAGGGGCCCGGGACCCGGCCACTTATTACACAAAACTATTTTTTTAGCCGCCCACGAGCAGATGGGCCCAGCTGACCACATTAATGAATAAAAATTGAATCATTCCATACATACGCAGTACAGTGAGGTAGGCTGAGGCCGATGGTGACTTCCACAGGCCGTTGCTGGGGATGCAGGTGTACTTCCCAGAATCCTCCGGGGTGACCTGCTGCAGCAGAAAGCTCCCGTCCACTAGGATCCGCACTCTGGACTGAAGGCGGCTGGAAAGGAAAATGATAGAGAGTTAAAGGAAGCCGATCACTGAGGCGGGGCAAATCCCAGCAGGGCAGCAGCCATCAATAAATGTAGCCAATAAAAAAAAAAATATTAATTTTTTTTTTTTTTTTTTTAAATTCATGGAGCGGTCTTTGGTGGTCTTACATGAACCCAAGACTGACCATTCGAACACTCAGGCACTTAAAGGGCCTGATAATAATTATAAAATTTTTGGGTCAGTAGGGGGCCCCATGAAATGCCCCTGGTACCTTTTTATAGGCTTTTGTGGGTGTGCTTTGAGTGTGGGCAAAGACACAGGGGCCCCATATCCCCTATTGCCCATAAAAAAATAGGTTGTCATGTATTGTTGTCAGTAAATTAAAAAAATTGCAGGGGCCCCATGAGTTGCCAGCCTGCCCCTGCATGAACCTCACATTCAGGATCTTCCCAGAGCGACTCAATGATCAAGAAAAACGTTTCCCTGTGTATGTGAATGTATAAATGGATGTAATAATATATGATCACTCAGCAAAATCTTTAATAAAAAAACAAAATATAATTCCCACTACAATCACCCTAAAGGAAAGTAACACTTTCACCCTTGAAAGCAAAAATAATAATAAACCTTTTTTTCACTAATACTCAAACACCCATATAGAAAACTCCAAAATTAAAAACATAAAAAAATTTAAAAAAAAAAAAAAAAAATAATATCCAAAAAATAAAAAAAAAAATAAAATAAAATAATAAAATGTCCAAAATAATGTCCAGATAAATAAAATTAAATAATAGTCCACCAAAAATATCTCAATCCAGTGTGTTCAACTTTCAATTCTCCATTTGAACCTGAACCTCGTGATACCTTGAAAAAATATAAACTATAATAGTGTATTATCTTCCAAATATCATATAAGTGTATATACCTTAAAACATATAAATATATACTAAATAATTGCAAAAAAATATGTGCAAAAATATAATTTGTGCACAGTTAAATCTGAGTATATTTTTGTTCACATTGTTATATTTTTGCAAATATTTTGCACTTATTTAGTTAATATATATTAATATTTTTTAAGGTATATACACTTATATGATATTTGGCAAAAGATAATACACTATTATAGTTTATATTTTTTCAAGGTATCAAAATTTTAAAAAAAAAAAATGGAAATTGAAAAGTTGAACACACTGGATTGAGATATTTTTGGTGGACTATTATTAAAATTTTATTTATCTGGACATTATTTTGGACATTTTATTTTTTTTTTATTTTATCTTTGGATATATATTTTATTTTTTTTTTTTTTATTTATTTATGTATTAATTTTTGGATTTTTCTATATGGGTGTTTGAGTATTAGTGAAAGAAAATGTTTATTATTATTATTTTAAGGGTGAAATGTTACTTTTTCTTTAGGGGTGATTGTAGTGGGAATTATTTTTTGTTAGGGTAGATTTTGCCAAGTGATCATATATTATTACATCCATAATTATACAAAACATACACACTGGATTGAGATACTTTTGGTGGACAATTATTTATTTTATTTATCTGGACATTATTTTGGACATTTTATTATTTCATTTTTTATTATATCTTTGGATATTATTTTTTTTTTAAATTTATTTATGTATTCATTTTGGATTTTTCTATATGAGTGTTTGAGTATTAGTGAAAAAAAAAGGTTTATTATTATTATTATTTGCTTTCAAGGGGGAAAGTGTTACTTTTCTTTAGGGGTAAATTGTAGTGGGAATTATATTTTGTTAGGGTAGATTTTGCTGAGTGATCATATATTATTACATCCATAATTATAAAATTCACATACACACTGGATTGAGATACTTTTGGTGGACAATTATTTATTTTATTTATCTGGACATTATTTTGGACATTTTATTATTTTCATTTTTTTAATTATATCTTAAAAATATTATTTTTTTTTTAATTTATTTATGTATTCATTTTGGATTTTTCTATATGAGTGTTTGAGTATTAGTGAAAAAAAAAGGTTTATTTATTATTATTATTTATATTATTTGCTTTCAAAAAAAAAAGTGTTACTTTTCTTTAGGGGTGATTGTAGATGGGAATTATATTTTGTTAGGGTAAAATTTTGCTGAGTGATCATATAAAAAAATTACATCCAAAAAAAGAATATACATTCACATACACACTGGATTGAGATACTTTTGGTGGACTATTATTTATTTTATTTATCTGGACATTATTTTGGACATTTTATTATTTATTTTTTTTTTTTTATCTTTGGATATTATTTTTTTATTTATTTTATGTATTAAATTTTGGATTTTTCTATATGGGTGTTTGAGTATTAGTGAAAGAAAAGGTTTATTATAATTATTATTATTATTATTATATCTATGGATGTGTTCACATGGAGGCGTCACGCTTGCGGTGCGGTGTAAAAACTTTGGGGCATGTTTGGGGAGTTAAAAAAAAAAACGAAAAAAAAAACCACCCCAAAAACGCATCTTCCCTTTGAAATCAATGAAAACCGCCTCATTAAACGCCTCTGAGAATCATTTTTATGCAGTTATTAGGTCACGCATCCTTTAAGAACACTCAGAAAGCGTGGAAAAATACTTATGTGTTTTTTTTGCGGTGGATCAGTGCGGTTCAGTTAAGGATAAATTTATTTTATTTATTTTTATGACAGCTGGGAAACAGCGCTCGCCCCGCACCTACCACTAACCTGAGCAGGTACATTGCTGTTTCCGTGGAACCAGCTGTAGGTGAGGTTGGCGGGGTAGGCTTCCGCCTGACAGGTCAGAAAGGCATCTTGGGAAACATTGACGGTGATGTTTTTTTCCAAAAGAGGGACGACGATGACGGGCGGACCTGAGAAAAAGAGACTAGGGGGGATCATTTTGAAGCAATTATGTATACTAAAATATTATAAATATAGTACATACAACTGAAAATAGAAAAACAAAAAGTGTGTGAGATGTGCTGGAAAACCAAATCCGATCCATGGAGTCCCCACCACACATATTACAGGACACAAAGAATCTGCTACTGACGGCTTCTTGTCATTGTTTATACTACAGATACCTTCAGAGGGCCAGTGGAGCCCGGGACTCCATGGGTCAGGACTGGCAGCAAAAGTGGGACCTACCCAATTATTAGGTGGGTGGTCATAAAGTTATGGCTGATCGATATATATAAACTGCATCAGGTAAGAGAAAATGGATATCAGATAAGCAAGGTAAATAATAATTTTTATAACAAGAGTAGAAATACATATATATATAGTATATACCTTGATATACAGTGTAGACTGCAACAGATAAAGAGATGAGCAATAATACATATAAAATTTATTGAATATTATAAACATTATATATAAAAGAAAAAAAATATATTCTGAACTACAAGTGGTTTCAGAAAAGGGATGTCAGGTAAACAATAATAATACTTATGAAAATAGTAAAAATAAAGTATATTAATAAAGTTTATATTTTTCTATATTATTTAATTATAATACATATATATATATATAAATATAAGACAGACACACACATATAATACAGACACACACACACACATATAATTTT